TGTAATTTTATTGTAAATATAATGGGAAGATCACTGAAGTGTTTGAAACAGGAATGATGATGCTGTTATTATGAATTGTTTATGAAGTTTGAGGTTAAAGTCACCAAACTCCCGGATTAATCAAAATGCAATATGGCTGCTAGCAGTCTGCGTCATGTGTTCCAGGCATATGGTAAAGGACAATTTACTTTTTTCTTATTCTGTAATAAATATTACTTCATAGATAACACCCGAACCTGGTGAGGAAGTACCTTCATCATTACTACCATTTGTAGAGTAGTTCTAATATGCTGGAGGCTTTAAAAGGGTTTTTATTCAATGTTCTCAATAAAATTGAGGCACTGAGCTTTCAGTTCCTGAAGAACCATTTAAGCTTAAAAAGGCTTTTGATTGATTTCTTCCCAACAAGCTCTGTGCATTAACTCCAACTCAATCTGTGCAGGAGCCTGCATGTGTGTGCAAATGAGGGTTGAAATGTGAATCTCCAAGGATGTAACTTGGCCCTTGTTGACAAGTAAAAATTTCCTCCGAGCATCTGTGACCAATCCACTCTAGCATTCTCCTAAATGTGAGGCCACTCTGGAAGGTGGGCAGAGATGCTAGTACATTCCTTTCATCTTAAATGTATTCTCCAAAGACTAAATGATATGTCTTTAGGAGAAATGGATAATACCAAATGTTTACTCTTGCTTGTTTTATTAAAATAGCTAAGAAAAAATAAGATTGGATTCTGTGTAAAATCAAGCGTCCCAATATTCAGCAGTTTAAAAGAAGCTTTAGACTCTTTACTTACAGACATTGCTGGGTTCGGGCCATAATTCAGTACAGAACTATATCTAGAGGAGCACTTCCTTCAAAACAAATTTTTATTATATTTTCCCATTAGAAAATAAAATGTAGGCTTCCAGTTACTCGGCTATCAACCTATTCTCCTTCTAACAAAAAAAGATGCTAAAAATATTTTTAAAGACATAAGCTCAAACGGGCAAAAATAAAAGACCCCTACTAGAAGCACGCTGAAGTAGCCCGAAGAATAACAGAAGGCCTCCGTCCCCAGAAGCTCTAAGGAACAGTGAACGTCAGTATGCACGAGAGGCTTAAAAACAGGGCAACTACTGAAAGTCTATAACTGAACTCATGGGACCTCAGCTACCTACAGGCAAGATAGCAAAGGTTTTATTCTCTGGAGAAGATGACCTGGAGACATTCTGGTTTCACAAGACCAAACAGAGAGCACAGGCAATCACAGGGCTGAACACGGGTAAATCATCTGAGCTGGAGGGTGATTTCAGCTCAGAAATTCAGGACTCAGGGTCACCACAGCTATACATTTGCCTATGGGGGTGCGTGGATAAAACTAGATTCAAATCTGGCCCAGCTGTTTGCTAGCAAAATAATCATGGGCAAGCCAAGGACCCCTCCAAGCTTCGGTTGCCTTACTTATAAAATGGGAATGATAACAGGATAATATCGGAGCCATTGTAATGATTAAATTAGATTAAATATAGCATTTAGTGTATGTCTGACAGGCAAGTGGTACATGCTCATTAAATGGAGGCTAGTATCATAAGTGAACAGGTTCTGGGGCGCTTTCTAAAAGACTCAATATGGAACTACCATCAGGTACAAATACCTGTAAACTGATTCCTGTCTATGGAGCATAATCTGAAATCCTAATAAGTTCAAGGTCAATATCAGGTTTGTGAATATTGTCTCAGATGCCCCAGACAGCTCTGAAGTCAGACAAAAATCAACTTTATTACTGGGTCTCCCAATAACTAATGAGGTCTTGGCAAGCCAATGCAAGCATTCCTCATCTGTGAAGTGAAAACACAGTATTTGCAAGACTGTTGCAAAGATTAAGCTATAATGCATGCTAAACACTAGAAGAATGCCAAGGACATGGTGGGTGTCAAGAACTGAGAGCCATTTTTATCATGATCATTATTAGGAAAAAAATAATTTACAAATGCCAGCTAAAAACCTGGACAATTTTGGGAAAATGTGCTACAGGTTATGTTTTTTTTTTTTTCTTTATCAGATGTCACTGGAGTGTGAGGATTGTGTGACTGTTACCAGGGAACTGATTCTGCTGACTTCTAAGTCAGTTTGGAAGTTGACAGAGTATACTCCTTAATGGTAAGCACTTCTCTCTTTGCCTAGAACATCTACACACATTTCAGCCCAACTGGCAGCATAAATGATAATCAATGATTCAGGTATGATTTCAATTTACTCACTCAGTTCTTCTTTCTCAGTACAGTGGTGTCTCAAGCCAGAGTTACTTCGGTGGCTTGGTCATGGACACATCTTCATTTCTTGAGTTCTGAGCCGCAATTTCTCTTTCAAGTAGAGAAAACATAAAACAAGACATGATGAGTAGAATTTCTCATCTCATAATGAATGAAAAATAAATTTCACATAAAATCTCTAAAGATACTAGAAGATATAGCATAAAATTTATTTCCTAGGATATTTTATTTACCGTCTCAATGGAGTATATTTTAAATTTTTAGAACATACTATAAACCCGTGGCATAGCTACAGAATCTTCTATTCAGTTATCTTCCTAATTGAGACAATTAACTAAACAAAATACACATTCCAATGAGACATGTATCTAAACCATTTAGAAATAATTAAAAATTATAGATCAGGTTTTCTTTCACTGATCACAAACGATAATAATGCTCTTGTGGCACTCATTTCCTGGCTCACTTTTGTGGGTTTATTAAAACATGGGACTGTCAAATCACAGGGAGTATCTTATTTTCATTTTCATATCTCCAATTCTAAAGGGGATTAATTTATCCAATTAAGCTGTTAATTAAAAAGACTCCTACAGAATGAACTGCAGGCTACCAATTGCATTTTACATTTTCATTGTGCTGGGCTCAAAAGCAATTTCCTAAATCCTTAAGAGCTCCAAGTTACTGCTTCATATTCCCCGTTGAGGGTGCAGCTGGGATTTGCTAGCTGATAGCCAAACTCATTTCCTCTTCCTTTGGGGCACACAGCTAGACATATATCCTAGCCTCCTCTGTGGTAGGTTTGCCCACGTGACTAAGTTCTAGCCAATGGAATATGAGCAGAAGTGACATAGATAACTTGTAGGCCTCTACCAAACCTTCTACTCAGTATTTACCATGGTCACTTCTCCTTCACCAGCTTCTTGTAGGTGAGCATGCATTCAATCATGTCGAGAATGGTGAACCGCTATATGAAAGGAACATGGGTCTCTAAATCACCAACCAGAAGAGAAAAGCACACTGATCATTAATATCTACTCTGTATGTAATGAAAATAAGAACTAAACTTCAATTGGATTAAGACATTGAGGTGATCTGCTTTAACAGCTAGTGTGATCTTAATAAAGAAAGCAGATGAACTTGAGGAACATGCAAATATGTACCTAAAACCTAATTGGGAAATAATTGCTTCCTTCAAATTTTTATCATACATATAAATTGAAGCAGAGTCAATACCTCTAGTTCTATATCAGGGTGGGGAACGTCCAGCCCACAGGCTGTATAAGGCCCATGAAATCATTTGGTCTGGCCCTGCCAAGGCATTAGGAGTTAATTAAATGTTTGATCACATACAGCAGGCTAATTTTTAAGGTGATAAGTTTGTCTGGCCCACAAATGATGTTATAATTACCTAAATGGCACCTGGTAGGAAAAAAGGTTCCCCACCTCTGGTCTATACGGTCCAGAAAATCTATCAGATAAACCACAGCAAGAGATTCTAGACTTCTTGCCCTCATTTCCCCAAAGTCCCTTCTTCCTGCCCATGCTTCAGAGATCACTCATAAACTGACATTTTTATGCATCTTTCCTTCTGCTGCTACCCTACACACAAAAATTCTTATTTCAAAGGTCAGTTCACACACACTCTCTAAGAAGGGCATTAACAGGCCATACTCAGTTACTTACTACCCACCAAGTCTTCATCCCGTCTGAGGTCGAGCTCCTGTACATGGATGTTGTCACACAGCTACTATGATACGAACCATTGCATACTTTCCCAGATCTTAGAACATATTCATGCCAGAAAGATCTTTCAAATAATCAACAGAGTTGGGGATGGAGGCGGACTGGGAGAGGTCAATGAGGGGAAAAGGAGACATATGTAAGACTTTCAACAACCAAGATTAAATAAATAAAATAATCAACAGGGATTATTTTGTTAATTGAGACAATTAACAAAACAAAATACGCATTCAAATGAGACATGTATCAAACCTATTTAGAAATAATTAAAATTACAGATTAGGTTTTCTTTCACTGATGAAAAATTATGGTAATACCTTTGTGTTGCTCATTTCCTGGTTCACTTTGGTGTGTTTATTCAAACATGGTAGCGTCAGATCATGGGGAGTATCTTATTTTCATTTTCTGTACTCGCACTGACAGCTAAACGCAAAAATTCACCAGAGAAGTTAGTGTGAATGCTGTGATATGCCTCTGGATTTGTCTGGACTCAGGTTAAGGCAGTCAAGCTTTTGCTGTACTGCACCGCTGAGTCATTGTCCAGAGGTCGCCAGGGGACAGAAACTGCTCAGCACTTACAACTGCAAGTTGCATGGGGCAAAGAGACTCCAGTAGCATGAAGGCTGCCACCCTAGAGAACCACAGCTAATTAGAAAAGAAAGCACACAGAAGGTAAGGCTAGGGTGCCCAGTAAAAGGGATTTTTCCCTGTGGTGGTTGATAACTTGCTCAGAAGCCTCTTTTTTCCTCAATTGGAATATTATTGCATAAGCCATCAGCCACACGTGTTGACTTACGTCCTGGATGAAAATGCGATGACGACCTCGCAAGTCTCTCATTGTCTGTGGATAAAGTTACTGCATTCAAAACCCACTTTTCTAAGCCAAAAAACCTAGTCTAGTACAGTGCTTTGTGTGCTTTATGGGCAAATATTATTGTCTAAAACAGAACTAAATATGTTAATAGATGTAATATATTTTAGTATTCTTTAAAATAAGAGGAAACAGAAATTTTTCAACTTTTTATTGTCCTTAAAATGATTGTTCACATTGTTTCACAAGCAGGGAAAGCAAATACAATGACCATTTAGATAGAAAATGCATCATCCAAGAATATCATTCTTTAACCAGTGGAGCACAGCCACTGCCGATGAGAATGTTATTGTATGATATAACCATATATCCTTTAATATGCAACTGAGACATTATGCTAAAAATATCAAGGATGAAGCCTATCAAATACTGAGATTATAGATATACTATAAAATAAGCGTATTTAGAGATGGGTATTCTAAGGGATGAAGGCTAACGCCAAGGTCAGCAGCCAAAACACAAAAGCTCGGCCTTTTCTGACTCTGGAATACTTGACAAGTGATTTCAAACTTTTCCACTTCTCCGGCATGAGCATAACCTGTATGGCAAGCCATAGCTCCTACTTGCTTCTTAGCAATGCTCCAGGGCTAAGTCAGATAAAAATTTATGTGCTATGCTTTGAGCTCCATTGAGGAAAGGCACTGAATAAACTTCAGGATAATTTATGAATCCTGAGCTTGCATTAATCATGTCCAAATCTATCTCATAAAAGGAAAAAAAATGGAAATAAGAAGCCATTGCTGTGTGGTTGGTGAAAAGCTCAAGAAACTTTGGGCAATGGTGGTAAGCCCAAACAATACCATTTTATATACATGAAATCCTTGACTAATCCAGATTTTCATTAAAAAAAAACTAACTCCTTCCAATGCCCAGAAATAGTTCACTGGCAGAACATCTGGCATATGAATCAGAGAAGTGTGTTATGGCAGTCCTAATCTGAGATCCAATATCTAATTTCCTTTTAATTTACCATAATTATTTTTATAAAACTTTATGGCTTTCCTTCAGTGGATGTCCTTAGTGAGGATTGCCAAAATACTGCCTTCTCTTCAGAATCACATTTTTTAGGCCAGCTTCTCCCAACTTGTTTTCTTCCCTTCCAATTGCATTTTACCCTCACCCCTTAACCTCTGTCGACTTCTTTTAGCAACCTGTATTGAATAGAAGGGACAACCAGAGTGTAATCTGAAAACATAAACGCAAGCAGGTATTCAGAAATACAATCCTACTAGTACATTGTTCTAGCTAGTAGTCATGATTTGGTACTAATGCTTTGGTTTTGTTTTATTTTAATAATGGCCATCCTTTCTACAACTTTCAGTGCAACTGAGTTATATCAAGTAGAGTTAACGAGAACAAGGCAGGCTCATATTTAGAAACTATGAGGTTCCCAAGTGGTCACCAATCAGCTTTTCTAAACCAACAAGTGACCGAACAATTCCCATTTTCAAAGTCAAAATTATATGCTTTCATCAAACACTGCCTCTGATTTGCAGGAATGTGTTTATTTGGAGTTTAAAAAGACAAACATCGAAGGAAAATGCTTTTTCCTAAAAGCATAACAACCCTCAGCTGATTTTAAATGTCCAAGAACAGGAATAAAACAAGGAGTATGTTGTAATGTCTAAAACACATCAGAATGACTCTTCTACAGAAAAGGGACATATGTTTCCATCACCCCTAACCTACGAGTGCTTGTTTTTAAAATTACAAACTAATGTCATAGTAAGCCATAGTTAAGAGGCGGAAAAGGTAGCTGCCCTTCAGAAGTTTATCCATTCGGAGAGGAGGAAGTCAAGGGGAAAATCACTCTCCTCTGACTAACACAGTATAATTATTTTCCTCATGATGGTGCCCCTGCATTTTTCTCCCTTTAGAAGTTCCCATGGTTACAAAAGGACAGGCTACACACACACATATATTTTTTTTAAAAAGGATGACAAATCACAAGGTTGCAAAATGGCCTCCTATAGTCGGTCTGAATTTGTCATTTTGCTTTAGAGATTTTCCCATTGGCCCAAATAATCCAGAATCACATATACAATGAATAAATGTAAAAAGAGGGGTGGCTATTTTAAGAAACTGGAAATGCCAAGTAAACACTTGAAGGCCATTATGATTTTATCATGTACACACACACACACACACACACACACACACACACACACACTGATAAGAGAGAGTTCACTTGAAAGGATAAAGTTCTGAAGATCAAAGCGGTACGGCTCTTCCTTACAGACTCTTTAGAAGAAGACTTGAAGCATAAAAATGTTTATTTGAACTATGCAAAGAATTTTACATTTAATCAATAGATTCGAAAATGACTTCAATCAAGAAATGTTTCAAAAAGGTTTTTTAAGTGAGAGCTAACATTAACTGAGCCCAAACGGAAGGGTACTTCGCGACCTCCTCAGTGTAGTGTTTGGCCCTTCGCACTAAAATGGAATGAAAGCTATCTGTTCCCGATGGGAAATTCAAACAGCACTGATTTGGTGCCTACTAGTTTTAGAAACAGGAGGATGTACATAGAGGAGGATAACAAGACAAACAGCAATTGGACTAAAGAAAAGTGTCTGACAGACAGACATAATCACTGAGGTTTGAGCAGACTACATCAAATTTTGGAGATTTCATCTCCTAGTGTCCCTGTTACGTAAGAGTTTTGACTTCTTCTGGGACTTAAGGATGTATCCTTTTTCCCTACTTGATAAACTCAAGTCCTTTACCAAGTAGCCTTTCTCCCAGCCTTGTTCATGCCGACTTGAACAGGGCAATCGGCTACATCGGATACAAGCTGTGAGGCCATTTTCATCCCAATAAATTCCAAAGCTAAATCAAGAATGTCATCAAAAATTATAATATGAAGATAAAACATATTTATAAGGTAACTACCTAAGATTTAATAAATGCTGGGTAATGACAATACATAAAATCTAGTAACGCATTTCACAGAGCAGGAAAACCTCCCAGATATCCAAGAACATGTCATCATTTAGGGTTAAAAGTTTAAAAGACAGAATTTTTTTTTCTGGATATATTCTACTTAGGCCCCTGCAAAGTTGTAGACTACAATGCTATGTACCACTTAGCTGTGGCTGACACACTAAAATGGACAATTGCAACAGTTCGGCAGATAGCGTTTTAACAAAAGTTAAGTATCCTAGAGATTTTTGTTGGTTTGGTTCTCTGAAGAAACATGCTTGGTTCACTTCTTGTATTCCATTTTTTAAAGCCTTACAACTTTGAAAAGATACTGTCTAGATCCAAGCAATACCCAAATAATGAAGATGCATGAAAAATAAAGGTCCTCAGGGGAATATAGGCCTAACGTAATAGGACGTGCATGCTCAGTGCAGCCTCTACTGGCACTGTACAGCTCTCTCAGGATGGTGTACGCCAGCAGTCCAGCTACCAGAGTCGGCAGGAATTCGTGCCTCTATTCATCGTGGAATTGGATGGACAGTTAAAAGCTTTCTGGAATTCTTCAAAGTTGCTAATAGCACCATTGACCCTAAAAAAAAGATATTTAATGTCATTTAATTCTTATATATCAACAGGCTCTAATTAAAAGTGTAGCAGCATATTGTTAGAAGGGACGTTGCAGTAACTTGATCTCTGTATAGGGCAGATAACTGAAGCCCCAAATGTTTAAGTGGACTTCCAAAAAAATTTAGCAGAGCTGAGGCTAGAACCAGCACCTCCTCAATACCAGGCAAACAATCCTGTTCATCTTCCAAATATTTTCAAATCCCTATAAACTGTAGGATTTATAGTTACAATATAATGAGTATAAGATTGTATAATCCTAAACTTTTACAAATGCCTATAAACTGTAGAATTTATTGACACTTAGCTTCAGTATTTTTTTATCTTTGGGGGAAGGTATAACTGATATAAAGCGTACATGTCATAAATGTAAAATGTGTACAACATACTCATGTTACTATCAATCAGATCAAAACATGAGATATTTCTAGCACCTAGACAGCTCCCTAGTGTGCCCTACCAGTATCACCTCCAAGGATAGCGACTAGTCTGACTTCTATAGCCATAGATTAGTTTTACCTGTTTTTGAAATTCATATGAATGGAACCACACAGTAGGCACTCTTTTGTCACTGACTTCTTTTATTCAATATTTATGTCCGTAAGATTCAACCATGTTGTTGCTATCACTATCTTTAAAGAAACCGTTCATTCTACACAAAAACTTTCTCTAAATTCCTATTATGTTTGAAGGTTCATATGTATCTAGAATCTGCTTCATGTAACAACAAACCAATGAATGGTACTATCTAAGAGTTATTAGTGAGTAATTTTACTGGCATTAACTTCGAAATCTGGGGTTCTTGAAAGTTCCCCCAACTGCAATAAAGGCTGCAGATTCCTACTTAGCACCCTGGTTGTAACTGCCTTGTGGAAGTGGTATTTCCATTGTGTGATTTACACCGTACTCAAAATATACACTTATTGCAAATATCACTAATAAGCCAGCAGAAAACTCCCTCTTTGTTTATTTCTGACTCAACTGCATGTTCAAAGGGCTGGCTTGAAGATTCAGCATTCTCAGTCACTGACCATTTCTTCCCTAATGACTTCTTTACCTATGAGCATCTGAATGAACATAATGGCCAATATCCAAAAAGCATCCCCATAACCTCCTGTGTTTTAGCTGAGGTGTGAAGGTAGGGATGGATATTTCATGGTGTGATTCATCCTGTGTAAGTGTTAAAGATAGAATTTAGTTGCTAATTAGTGAGTATGTTCTGCAAAATTATCAGCTAAAATCCAACATTACAGGCAACTAGTTAGTAAAAGGACATTCCTTTCTAAGAACTTATCTGTTGAGTAATTAATCTACCGCATTTGTCAGAGGGTGCACATTTTAGTCCATTAGAGAATGTCAGCATTCTTGACAGTTTAGGCTAGTGGGGGACAATTTCTAACACAGTGATTAGATTGTATGCTATTGGGTAATTTATAGTCAATTTCTGAAGCATGTTTAAGGCAAGGTTTTAGGAATAACATTTTAAAATATAGGAGAAATTTTAGATGATTTTCTTGCAATATGCTAGTGGACTCATTTAAACATTAAATATAAAAACATACAGATATAATGTTCTAAGCAAAGAATGAATATAGTTAAGGTTTCCTATATTTCCCAATATAACTCTTGTCCCCTACTATAGAAAATTTCCCTCAAACTATATTAACCTTAATTTTATTTTTTACTTAATATTTTATACATTTGGCAATTAAATAAGATTGTTACTCATAATCCTTTTCCCTTCATATGTAAGCAAATGTTTCAAAATAAAATTCAAACTAAAAGCCAAAATACAGAGCTTTTGACTCTAAATGTGAATTATAATAGCTTAATATGACCATATATCCTCCTTTGTGCTCAGAGCTATTCAGAAAATGGGCACTCGTTTATGTTTGCTGGTAGGCTGCATAAAGAATCAGATGCATTAAATACTATACTCTATAACACAAAATAAACCAGAGCTCTCAGTGTTTTAAGGCACAGTAAGATCACATCCTGTCTAAGAAGAGACTTTTTGGGCCCAACCAGTTTCTATTTGGCCAGTATTTTTGCCTGTAAAATGGAGATATCACAATTCACAATACAGGCTTTGGTTCCAATCACCTATTTGGTAAAGCACTGAGGTGGCTGCACAGGGGAGGAGGGGAGATGCACATTAAAAACTAGTGTTAAAAAAAAAATACTAGTGTCACCCATTTTCCCTTTTACCTAAACTCCGGAGGGCTGTGAGCACCAATCTGGACTTGTTCTCGGGCAGCTTCTGGTCTATAGGAATTGCACCTGACCTAGGAGAGAAACGCATACTGGTAATTACATTTCCATTCCAATTACACATTTTCTACTGCTTTAGCTGCTCCAAATTATACTGAAGAGTAATTTTAGACTCAATGGATGACAGTTTTAGTAAATCAGATAAAACCTTAATCTGTAGTAACATCTATTATTCTAATCCCTGGAGTAGGTTTTATCATTGTAAATAATTCTACAATTTGAGTAAATTAGGAAGGTTTCTAGGCAAATGCTATAAATCAAGAGAACACTATATATGCCCAGGAATCAACCAATGTATTCATTCAATTAATATCATGCTTGGAATAGCCCTTATTAAATGTAACCATATTTGATTCAATAAAATGAATCAACCACCATTATTGAGCATAGTCATGAGAAGTCAGGTTTTTGCTTGCCCTACCTTAGTCCAGCCCTTTGATAAGAGGACACTTTTCCATCTCCTTTGAAGTTAGGCATGGCTATATCACTTGCTCTGACCAATGAACTAGGAGAAGTGATATATGTCACTTCCTAGAGAAGATTTAAAAACTGGCAGAAGTTTAAAGAGCCTTCAGAATAATTTAAGATGCTACACTAAGAACCAGGGCACATTTCCTCATATTTCTTTCCTACTCCTGTGGTGACCATGGAAGCAGATGTCAAGATGGAGACTCTAAAACCCAGGTCCTTGAGTAATAACTATGAGCAGAGACCCATTCATGACCAATGTTGGACACAGACCATGAACAAGAAATAAACTTCCCTTGTTTAGTTTGTCCCTGTACCATAACCTACTTAATCCTGACTTGAAGCATGTCTTGAAGCATGATATAGTCTTGAAGTATGAAAAGAACTAGGACACATGAATATGACTGGGGGCGATTTAAAGTGGAAGAGAAAAGGGAAGCAAAGACATATTGTATTTGAGAAAAAATAAAAAGAGCAAGACACTCAGCGTGGCTGGACTGTGGTACCTAATGGGCAGCAATGGGAGACCAGGGGTGATGGTGAAGGTGCCAGGTTTCTGAAATTCTGACCAATATCCTAAAGTGTTTAAACTATACCTAAGCATAAATATGAGCAGTAAATGATAACATCATATTTTAGAAAGTTGTATCTGTCAGGGGAATATAGAAGGAAATTAGAAACTAGTTAGAAGATTATTTATATATGGGCCCAGGAACGTTCCCAATGAATATCCACTAAATGAGTAGAAATGGGAATGGAAAGAAGTATAAAGATAAGAAGATCTGAAGGGGGAAATTGGCAGGTCACAGGAACTATGGGGATATAGGAAGCAGGAAAGGCGATATGATGCTATCACATTTCCTAAAGATAAACCATCAGTCTCTGCGGTTCTAAAGTTAACTTTGAAGATGTTTTTTCTAATATGATTCCTTAATTTCCTCAGAAGCTAGCTACTGTGAAGTTGTTTCTGGCACTCCATTTCTTATATTCTTATACTAGAGGCCAAGTGCACAAATGTTGTGCATGGGGGCGGTCCCTCAGCCCAGCCCGTGCCCTCTTGCAGTCTGGGACCCCTTGGGGGATGTCCTCCTGCCAGCTTAGGCCCACTCAGCAGGCGGACCTCCCCAGAGGGGCCTTAGCACTGCCAAGGCAGCTGCACTCACCAGTCATGAGCTCAGCTTCTATAATACATTGAGCATCTGTCCCCTGGTGGTCCTGTGCATCATAGTGACCAGTCATTCTGCCGCTTGGTAGATTTGCATATTAGCCTTTTATTATATAGGATTATTGTACAGTATTGTCTTTGCTTCCTACATCATTTAAGAGAGTGCTAAAAACACATTATGGTTGTTACTATTTTCCTAGAACCTTCTTAGGAGGGAAAATAACTTTGCTCCCTATAAGCAGACATATTTCAACATGCAAAATATTTAAAATCTCCTCACTCTGTCAGTAGGAAAAGCTTCAAGATAAATTTCTCATTAGTGATATAAAATGGTTTTCCATGTTTCCTAAATCTCTTTAGTTTAAAAAAATCAGATATGGTTTGGAATTTTATTTGAGGACATTTCAAAACTATGATTGTTAATGTTGCTATCAGTTTACTTCATTCATCTACAAGGAGCTGTTGTGAACTAGAATGTAACTAAGATGGACCTTAAGTTAGTAAGTATGAACCTGAATAAGAACTGATGGACCTTGCAATTTAGAGTAGGGACCAGCAAACTTTTTCTGTAAAGGGAGAGATAGTAAATATTTTAGGTTTTGCTGACCATAAGATCTCTTTCAACTACTCAACTCTGCTGTTGTAGTATAAAACCAGGCATGGACAATATGTAAAAGAAAGTGCATGGCTGTTTTCCAATAAAATGGCACTTATAAAAATAGACAGCAGGCCATATTTGGGTCCTAGTTTGCTAATCCCAGCTCTATAATGTTCTGGCTATGTGTGTGCGCGCTTATTTTAGATATATGACCCAGTACTGACCTATAACAAAGTCTCCTTCATTGAACTGTATTTGTCTTATACTTATCAAGTGTCTTCAATATACCCAGGATCTTTGCTGGGTGCTATGGCGATACATAAGAAATGTAAGGATCCAGAAAATTAACTGTGAAGTTAAACTAGAAGTCTTCAATATTTTGAGAACATTTAAATATTCAACTACATGGTAATGAAGTAAGTATAACAGAATTGGAGATTTACAAAAATGAGAACTGGATTTCTTGTGGAAGTGTATGGATGGTGTGGAGGAGGTGAAACTTGACATGGATCCTGAATGATAAATATGGGATTCAATAATCTGAGGGGGAGGAGTAGACAGAGGGTGACATTATAGAAAGAAAATAAAAATCAAAGCCAGAGACAGTAGTGAGCATGGCATCATGGGGTGGAAGTGAGGCCACCTTCCTAGCAAAAGATGAGTTTTATGGAGCTGTGGGCATTAAGAGCTGGTGGGGAGAGTCGGGTAAGACTGAGGAGAACTTTTTAGAAAGGTAACTGAAATTGTTTGGCCTCAATGCATTAGGACTTGTGAGCCACTGTAGTTCTTCAGCTGATCGGTAATGAAATGAAAGTGGTATTTCAGTGGTATGTAAGATAGACAGTGTTGGAAAGATGCCAAAGGCTGGAAAATGTGCCATAATGCTAATGGAATAATCCAGAGCAGAAAAGATCAAGGCCTAGCCTATAGATGACAAAATAGGGTAATGGGGAGAAAGACGCTGAATCTGGAGAGCAGGTAAAAGAATGAAACATCTAACTTTGGAGGTGTATGTCATAAAACAAGGATAGGTAAATCAAATAAGACCTAAGAATCCAGATTTTTCTAAGCAGGAAGACCCAAGGACTGGGGGTATGTTAAAAGAAATGGGAAGACTAAAAAGAAAAGTCCTTTTGTTCATGATTACACTTTTGTTGATATTGGGTCGGTAAATGATAATTTATTGAGAGCTGTTATGTCCAGCTTTTAGAGATAAAAGACCCCAGACAGGTGAGAGTCATTTAACCAGAGTTAACTGAAGGAGACATGGGAATGTATGAATTTACTGAGAGAGAATACTAAGACTTAGGAACCAAAGGTTGCACCGATGAAAACTCTTGTCTAGTGTTGAGCATATAGATACACATTTGCCTACTTGAGGCCATGTGTCAGAACCTTCCACAATCCATCTTTGATTTTTTGAACATGAGGCCTACACATTTGTGACATAAACCACTAAAATAGTTAATAGCAATGAATTAGCACTTGCTTCGTTAGCCAAAGACTGGAACCCAGAATTGTGCCTTTAGTGCATTTCTATTTCTGCTCGAAGAGCCTATTAAACTCACAAAAGAGTTACATGACTCTTCTTGACTTTATTGTTGTTTTCAGCTCTAACAGTCATCAGATATTCATTTGACAGTTGAGAACACCAATGAATGAGTCATTAAAAATGGTTATTAATAGTATCAAATAGTAACATTGGGAAGTCAGGCTATATTACACAAATACCAAGTGAGTTACCATAGTAACCCTTGATTTAAAAAAAACCAATAAACTTTGATTCAATCAATTAATTGTGTCTCATAGTTGGGGGACTGGTGAAGGGATTTAGAACGTACAAATTGGTAGTCCAAAAATAGTTCCAGGGATATAAAGTACAGCATAGGGAAGCCTATATAATGAAAGTGTAGTATGCAAATTGTCCCCTCGAGCGAGAGTTCAAAGGAAAGGAGGGGGGATCAGGGCAGCGGCTATGGCGGCAGGAGAGTAGGAGAAGGGAAGGAGTACCCAGCTGGCAGCTGACAGCAGCTAGAGACCCTACCAGTGCATGCATTTCATGCACTGGGCCTCCGGTATAGTGAATAATATTGTAATAACTATATGTGGTCCAGGTGGGTACTGGAAATATCACGGACAAGGTTTTATAAAGTATGTGAGTATCTAACTAATATGCTGTACACCTGAAACTAACACAAAATAATACTGAATGTAAAAAATGCATCCAATTAAAATATAATCAGCTAAAACTTTATGTCTCAGAGAACACTTAAAAAATAAAATTTGCCCAGCTGGCATGGCTCAGTGGTTGAGGGTGGACCTATGAATCAGGAGATCACAGTTCGATTCCCAGTCAGGGCACATGCCCAGGTTGCAGGCTAGATACCCAGTGTGAGGCATGCAGGAGGCAGCCGATCAATGATGCTCTCTCATCATTGATGTTTCTATCTCTCTCTCCCTCTCCCTTCACTTCTGAAATCAATAAAAGTATTTTTTAATGAAATTTACCCTGAAAACAAGCAGCAAGATAAAATTTCAGCTAAAATCAAAGTTATGCTATTAAATTTTTGCTCCAAAATTTTGATCAAGGAAGCAAGCCAAAGTCCCACATTTCATCTTTGATGCCCCTTGCTGGTTCTACTCACATGAGCATAACTCAGGAAGAAGAGCTGGTTATTGGTGAATGTGATACCTGGTAGCAGAGGCTCCTCAACTCCCTGCCTCTTGTCATTTATCCATTTCCTATAAGCCTGGTGAGAGAAACAAAATGAATGATCCTCTGCAATGATGGCTTTTCTCTTCCCATCCAGTGCAGAGATAGTAAATATAGCCTCTACCATGTGCAAATTGTATTTTGTCAAGGTTTCCTTTAAGAAAACAAACCTGGAAATGCAAATCAATGTTGTATGGCTTATCAGTGAGGCAAATTCACCTGCAAAAGACCTTACATTCAATAAATAGCAAAGCAGTAGGGCCAAAGTGCTCAATAACTACCCCTCCTGGCGGGGGGGGGGGGGGGGATGTTTTTTCTTTTCCGACCAGGGAACAAACAAATCAAGCACAATGACAAAGCCGATGGAAATAGATTTTGGGGTCAACATACTGCCAATTTGGAAAACAATAATCTTCAATAACCATCATCTTGTAGAAATAAAATGTTTTAATTATAATAGAGGAAGGATTTAATCTTGGAATAACACCCTGGTCTTTACATTGAATGGATTTAGCTTTATGAAAATCTTTCCATATCACCCTTATGTTTCTTGTTTAACCACAAATCAGTGGATGATGAAAGCATTATTACGGATTCTTACCTGGCCCACTATATGAGAACCACTAGCCTCCGGTCATAATATGTAAGTTTGATATTTTAAGAGAAAATTATAAGGAAGGAAAACTCATATGAACCTAGCCCCCAGGAGATTTCTGTAGCCGCCTGATTTGATACTATTTCACATATATACATTACATATATATATATATATATATATATATATATATATATATATATATCTTATTATGTATCTGAAAACTATCTTTTAAATACATGATTCTTAATAATAAATATTATTGTTTAGGAAGTACTGTAACTTTACACCCTAAAAAGAAATGTAGCTCTATTCCTATAATAGAGTATAACACAGTCAATGGGGCAATATATTTCTACTTACAGAAATTCACAGAATTTACAGAAATCTAACTCCTCAAGAACATGACTATGCTGTAAATTGAGATGTACCCATACGGTGTTTTAAAGCCTAATTTTAAAAATCACAGCAAATGTTGCAGTACATACCCTAAAAGCTTCCCGCAGACCTCCATTATCGGCAATATTTTCTCCCAGGGTCCTCTTCCCTTTTACCTAAGAAAAAGAAAAAAGAGTGCTTCACAGCCAACTATCATTCAGCAAGAGGCATAAATAGGATAGCAATAAAAAGTGCCATATTTTAAAAAGAAAATTACATTCAATAAGTCAGAAGTAGTCATAATATATTTTGATATAGAAAACTAACCCCAGCAAGGTGCTCCTGAATATAATAATTTCTATTTTATTATGCAACACATTTCTTTCTCACTAACCTCTTTATTCTCACCCATTTAACCAACTCCAATAAAATGTTTAAAAAAATATTCTCAATGACTCTAGTCTAAATGGGGAAAAATAAAAATGTCAATAGACAGATTATCTGATTAACTCACATAATGTGAGTATTCTTTTCAATGTGTTCATGTTTCCAAACTTACCATCATATAGGAACAAGAGTTTCAGACCAACTATCACCAGTTTACCTTCACCCATTTCCAAGAAAAATTAAAAGGAGAGTCGTTTTCATGGGGAACAAAGGTCAAGGCTTGCAATATGTATTATATGATAACTAGCCGAGCACGGCGAAGAACTTTTTCTAAACATTTGAAGATTGCTCCTTAAACCCTTTTATAGTCCATGACAAAGAACAATCTAAACCAATACAGCCCATGAGCCAAGAAATGTAGGCAGCCTGTAAAAGCTAGAAAAGGCAAGGAAACAGATTCTTCCCTAGAGCAGTTAGAAAATAAAGCAGTCCTAATGAGACCTGAGTCAGACATACAGAACTGTATAATGATAAAGTTGTATTATTTCAAGTCACAAAGTTTGTGGTGATTTGCTATAGTAGCAACAGGAAACAATACACCCTGTTCTAATCCTTCAAGCCATTGATCCTATCCACTCTTTATTTTCATGCTAGCCCAATCACCCAAGTATCAGGCAATACAAATAAATGAAAACATTTGTATTTGACTACATCGAACTAAAAGTCTTCAGATAACATTGATCTCTATAATCACCCTGGACCTTCCCAGCTTCAGTCTCAAAAAGTTACCACTCCAGCTTTACATATTATCTTACACCACAAACAAAAATTAACTAAAAAATGGGATAAAGACTTAAACACCTAAAACCATAAAACTCCTAGAAGAAAACAGACAGTGAGAGCACCTTAACAGTGGTCTTTTTTAAAAATCTGACACCAAAAGCAAAAGCAAAAATGAACAAATGTGACTACATCAAACTAAAATGCTTCTGCACAGCAAAGGAAACATCAACAAAATTAAAAGGAAACCTACTAAAGGACAGAAAATAATTGTACTAGTAAATCGTGTATCAGATAAAGGGATAATATATAAAATATACAAAGAACTCATACAACTCAATAGCCAAAAAAACAATTTAATTCTTAAAAATGGACAGATGATCTGAATAGACATTTTTCCAAAGAAGACATATAGATTGCCATTAGGTACTTGAAAAGATACTGAAATCATTAATCATGAGAAAAATCGAAATCAAAACCACAATAGCTACTATTAAAAAGACAAGAAATAACAAGTGTTGGCAAGGTGTATAGAAGAAGGAACCCCTGTATACTTTAGGTGGGAATGTAATTAATGAAACTACTATGGAAAATGGTATGAAAGCTCCTCCAAAAAATTAAAAATAGAATTACCATATGATCTACTAATTCCACTTCTGGGAACGTATCCAAAGAAAATGAAAATCCTAATTCAAAAAGATACATACACCCCCATATTCACTGCAGTAGAAACAATCTAAATGACCATTGATGATAGATGCATGAATAAATAAGATTTGAAACACACACACACACACACACACACACACACACACACACACACACACAATATGGAATACCACTCAGCCACAAAAAATAATAAAATCTTGACATTTAAGATAACATGGATGGACAATAGGTTGTATTATGCTATGTGAAATAAGTCAGACTTAATTAAGTCAGACAGAGAAAGATAAATACCATATGATCTCACTTACATGTGGAATTAAAAAAAATGAAACTGAATTCATAAAGAAAACAGAGTGATAGTTGTCAGAGTCAGAGGGTGGGGGTAAGGGAAATAAGTGAACTTGTTTTTGTTTTGTTTTCAGTTTAAATAAACTGAATTAAAGCTAATTTTTGTTAGTCCTCACCTGATAATATTCTTCCATTCTGTTTTAGAGAAAGTGGAAGGGAGGAAGAGACAGAGAGAAAGAAACATCAATGTGAGAGACACATCAATTGGTTGCTTCCTTCACACTCCGACTGTTGTTGGGGATCAAGCCTGCAACTGGGGTACATGCCCTTGACAGGAATCAAACTTGCCATCCTTCAGTCAGGGCCAAGGCTCTATCCACTGAGCCAAACCAATCAGAGCTGAATTAAAAATTTTTAAGAGAATAAAATAAATAAGGCTACTGATTCTCTCAGCAGAGCTTCCTTGACACTACTGCTATTCTTCCAGGTGAAGAAATACAATAGTTTAGCTGGGCTCTTGATAATTTTGACTACTGGTTAGGGTGGGATCATACCTTAGACATTTTTCATGGGAATATCTGAGCAAGAATTGTTGGAAAACTACTACATCATTTCATCTAGTCATTACAAGAGGTGGACAGCTTATTTATAAGGTTGCTGTTCTTTGTTTCAGTATAAAAAAAAAGCAGAGGGGAATCAGAGAAATACAAATTTAAACTACAACAAGACATTGCCTCACACCTGTCAGAACTATCAACAAACATGTGTAGAAGAGGATGCGGAGAAAAGGGAACCCTCATGCACAGTTGGGGGAGTGCAGATTGGTGCAGCCACTGTTGAAAGCAGTATGAAGTTCCCTCAAAAAATTAAAAATGGAACGGCCTTATGACCCAGATATTCCACTCTGGGAATACACCCAAAGAAGCCCAAAACACTAATTTTGAAGAAAATATGCACCCCTATGTTCAATGCAGCATTATTTACAATAGCTAAATTCTGAAAGCAGCCCAAGTGTCCATCGGTAGATGAGTGGATAAAAGAGTTATGGTACATTTATACAATGGATTACTATGCAGCTATTTAAAAAAGTAAGAAAATCTTACCATTTGCGACAGCATGAGTGGATCTGGAGAATATTATACTAAGTGAATTAAACCAGTCAGAGAAAGACAAGTACCATATGATTTCACTTATATGTGGAATCTAATGAACAAAATCAACTAGCAAAACAGCAACAGACTCATAGATAAAGAACAGACTGACAGCTCTCAGAGGGGAGGTGGAAGGGGGGTGGGTGAGAAAGGTGAAGGGATTAAGCTAAGAAAAAAAGGACTCATGAACACTAGCAACAGTAGGTGGTTGCCAAAGAGAAGGGTAGGGGAGATAGATGGTAAAGAGGGAGTTAAATCGTAAGGGAAGGAGACATCCCTTGGGGCGGTAAACACACAATACAATAAACAGATTATGCATTACAGAATTGTATACCTGAAACCAGCATAATTTTATTAACCAATGTCACCTCGATAAACTAAATTTTTTAAAAATGTTATGGGTGACTAGCTATCCTGCTCAGGACCAAAAGTTAGAATTTGTCCCTTGCCATCCTTTGGCAACCGATGGCTATAAAGTAAACCCATGCTTCTTTCAGTCAACACCTAAAATCCCTCGTCCTGCTAGAGACTTGGATTTTAACTACTCTCCAAAACACAGCACATCTTGATACAATCTTGAACTGGAAAAATAAAAGAATTTGTATTCCTAAAAATTCCCCCAGGGAGAATGAAGCTGTTGGCCAGGGAACCACACTTTGAGCACCAATGGTCTAAAGCAAGCTAACAACCAACGAGAAAAAATCCATAATATGTCCCCTTCACCACTGTCATACTCACATTTAAGCCAGCTTTCTTCCAGTAATAGCTGCTATACTGGTTAACCATACACTTTGTTTTTTCCTTAAACTTTTCTTCGGAGTCGAGAGACCACCAAGGATCCAGGTTTCCATTTTTATCATATTTTCTACCTAGCAAAAAAGAAAGTCAGAACATATTTGTATTATTTATGGAAACTAATTTCTTCATCTTCCCTATCCCTCATTTCAACAGGTCTTGAAAAAGAAGTCCCAAGCAACAGAGACTACTCCTGGGAGCTGCTCCCACCTTCTCCCCAATGTTACAGGTTCATTGTAAAAGAGGAAAAAGGAGAAAGAGGTTTGAGGAAGTTCTTTCCTTCGAAGCAACAAAGAGCGTTTTAATAAGATTCATCAGCTTATGGCACGCGCCATTCTTAACCAATCTTGGATTCTCTGTTGTCACCTAATACGACCCAAAATCTTCTCTGCATTATGAAATGATGGCTTCATTCAGAAAGCCCATGGAGGGAGTCGGAATAAACATACCAGTGAAATTCCAAATGATCCATAGGGACAACCCTGATGAGTCATTCACACCCTGCGACCGCAGCCCCTGACTCAACCCTATAGGAACGTGTTTCCTCCAAGTCGCCCGGAACTGAGAGCCACTGAAACCTGTGTTATGAATCATTCCACAGCCATCTGTGTGGATGGAAGGCCCATCTGTCCTGTTATGACAGGAAGGTTGCTCTAAAAAGAAAACTTTGAACAAGAATGGAAACCTCCAAAACATAATGGGAAATGTTTTGTTTTTTTCTTCTACAGGCTCACTCTTCACTTTCTAAAACCCTTAAAAAAATGTTTGGGTGTATCTGAACTATCTTCTGTATTTCACTCAAGATTACTATTGGTTTACTTTAGTTGTTGTTGTTGTTGCTAATCCTCATCCCAGGATACTTTTTCCATTGATTCTTTTAGAGAGAGTGGGAGGGGGCAAAGAGAGAGAGAAACATCAATGTGAGAGAGACACATTGATTGGTTGCCTCCCACACGCACCCCAACTGGCACTGGGGCATTGAGCCTGCAACCAAAGTATGTGCCTTTGATCAGAATCAAACCCATGACCCTACGGTCTGCAGGCTAATGTTCTAACCACTGAACACCCCGGCTAGGGTGGTTTAAATTTGATTATGCAGAGAACTCTTTGTTGGGCATAAAAGAAAGCTCCCTAAGCAAGGGTGTTAATTTCTCCGGCTGATGTGGCTCAATGGTTGAGCATCGGCCTATGAACCAGGAGGTCACAGTTTGATTCCTGGTCAGGGCACATGCCTGGTTGCAGGCTCCATCCCCAGTAGGGGTTGTGCAGGAGGCAGCTATCAATGATGCTCTCTCATCATTGATGTGTCTATCTCTCTCTCCCTCTTCCTTCTTCTCTGAAATCAATTAAAAATATATATTTTTAAAAATATGTTAATTGGAATAATCTGAAGCTCTTCAATAAGGCTAGATGCCACTACCACCCTCTCTGGAAGAGTATGGAGTCACCGTTCTCCAACCACTAACCAACCAATTATAAAACAGATACTGGGCATGTCCTTATATGTACAATGTACTGTTCTAAGTGCTGATTACAGAGTGAAATTGCCATCATTAGATTTTGTTCTTTGAGGGACAATCCTAAAGCCATCTAGAAGATTCTGAGGAAGAATTTTACTTAAATTTCCTAGGAAGAAAGACCCAAAACCAAGAGAATAGCACTGGCTTTTGTTTCTTAGACTATCCTCTCAGATAAACCAAGCATGCAAAGCCAGAAAGTACTGCTCTGGGTATTCAGGTGACTACAAGGCAGCTAGATTTTAACAGGGAGGAAAAACCAGGAGAGCACAAAGCCTGTGTGGCTAAGTAAGGGCTAATGGGAATACAGGAAGAATTGTCCAGAAGGAGAAGAACCAAAAGGGTCTCTGGCCCTGGGTAGGCACCCAGGAAAGGGTGTTGGAGATATCACAGACATGAAAGAGGTCCCTCTATTAAATAGTGCCTTGAGCCAGCCGGGTTCCCTAGTCTACATGGAAATCTTTGTGTGGATGTAGATGTGATCATAATTTGCTGCTAATTCATAACTTCTGTAGATTTCATAAGGCTTCCCAATAATACTCCAAACTTAAAGGAGAAAGAAGTGTTGTTTAAAAATGGTTAACTCTCAAGGAGTGATCATTTCTTTAGTTTATGCCATATTCTGCTCTTTTCTTTTGCTTAAATGTCTTCAGGATACATAGCATATTCTATATTATGCATTATTAGGGAAGCATAGCCTTTTTAAAATTCTGAATATATGCCAGCATAGAGAAAAACAGAGATTGAGCATTGCATAATCCTTGAAACAGTATAAAGGAACCAGTCAGCCAAGCTCCAGATTCCTAACTCACTGAGTATTCATTTGGCAGCATGTATAATCATCCTCCGAGCAGAGCTCACACCTCCAGGGAGAGCATCTCAAGATGGTGAATAAAGAAATGACAAAGGGAAGAAGCTATAAAGAAATTCCTATAATTATTGTGGTAGCTACAGCAATTGTAATCTAAATGCACAACTAACTTCACTGAAATGACAAAGTCATTTTTTTCATCATTCTAGCCCAATGCAATGGGAACAATTATTTATTTATTGCAAGCTATCACTGCAAGACACGGGGAAAAGTTTTCAATCAGTAATCATACTATATTGGGTAATTGTCAATCTATGATGATGCCATTATGCAAAAATAATAGCAACAATTAACATCCCATAGTCAACATTATCATAAAAGCAGCAGCTTATACAATGAACCAGTACTTACCATTATTATCAAATCCATGTGTAAATTCATGTCCAACAATTACTCCTATAGCACCATAACTCAGAGATCTACAACATAAATATATAATTTGGAGAAAATTACAAGCATGAATCTAAGAACATAATCCTTTTTTTTTCCAATGAAAAGCAAAGATAATTTGTTTTTTAGTACCCATGTTAATAATCACAAAATTATTTAAAAAATCTAAATGTGCCCTTCTCATTAAAATGGTCAAACAAAATATAAATTCTAACATTCTCATTATGACCATATATGGGCCTTATTTTTCCTATGCTATGAAATTAGGGGTGTGAAAGAAATGGTTTCTAAAGTCCCTTCCAGCCCTAAGATTTTTATTATTCTATATCAGCTCTAGCTGTAGTTTATATTTATAAATACCCAAAGCAGTAGCAGGGTCTGAAAAGATCCTGTCAGTCAACATACCATTTATTTTTTTATCTGAGAACCTGTTGAAAAAATCACTACAGACTTAGAAGTTAAATTGTTTTTCAAATGTAGTCATAAAAAAGGAATAGAGCAGAGATTAAAAGGGATCAGTCTGCTGTCAAGGTAGTCACGTTTCTCTGCTTTTGTGACAGACACGCTCACGACTGAATGACAAAGACTGTGAAGCCTTAACCAGATTTGGAAAAGTCATTTTATCGTTTCTCTTCACCTCTGAAGATGCGTGTGGTAGATTACCTACAAGGGCGACCACTGACAATTCCATCCAGCCTGGTTGCATTGCCACCTCCTTCCATCAAGAGGCAACGACTTCCTTTCCCTTACATCTGGACAGGCCTCCGTATTTGCTATGCTCAACAGAAGGCACAGAAGGGGCTGGATGTGGCTTCTGGACCTAGGCTGTGACAGGCCTTAATGTTTGAAAGTGTCCTGCTTGGAAGTCAACTTCCATGTAAAGAAGGTAGACTAATCAGCTGGACGCAAAGAGGCCAACTGAAGCAAGCAAGAGACAGCAAAAGTTGTCAGACTTCTAAAGGAAGAGACGTGGCTGGGCCCCAGCCTTTCAAGCCAGCCCAACTGGGTGGGACAGCAGACATGTGACTAAAGTCATCTTAGATCCCCTGGTCCCAGGCAAGTTGCTAGCCAACAAACACCACACAGAACAGAGACAAGCGTCTCAGCTGAATCTTGCCCAAACTGTGGCTTCTTGTGCCAGTGATGGTTGTTCAGTGGTGCTTTGTTACATGGCAATATAACTGAAACAAGCATGTTAATGACATATGAAGTAATCAATAAGGGGGCTTCCACTCATGTGTGTCTGGGATCTTCTCTCTCAGCTTTAAATTCTATGAAGGTCAAACCCTTATCTATTGATTGCTGCTAATTCTCTGTTCCTAGCACACAGTAAGAAAGTAACAACAGATTAACGTTACCGTTTCATGCCAGTGACAGATTGATCTGTACCTTATTTTAGTTATTTAACGTATGGATAAGGATTACAAACAACTTAAAATCCTTGTGATGAGGATACTTCCTGAGATTTGCAATGATGCTAAAAATACCAGGATTTCACAGTTGCTTCCTGACATGCAACATCAAAGTAGCCCGGTAAACAGATAGGACCAGTAAGTGGAAGAAACGAGAATTTTTGAAGCAACATGTTATTACAGGACATAATAATCCTTAACATGCTAATTGTTTGTCTCAACTATACCCAAGGAAGTGCTGCAAGATTTAATTTTTCCCCTTGGTGGCAATTCTTCCCTTTGTTATTTCTTTCCTGCAAGGTAATTTGCATTTGAAAAAATGCTTCCTACTGTTTTTCCATCATTGCAAACCTTCATTAAAGAAGTAAGAGTGAAATTATGCATTTCAATCATAGAGCTATCATAGCAGTGTGGGACAAACTTGTAATTTTACATAGTGCTAATTTTTGCAGCAGTAGTTATCACTGTGCAGCCTGTAACATCTCGTTTTTTCCAGACCTCTCAGCCCTGACAATCATATTCGATTCTCTACAAGCTTTGGTCAGTGCCGTTGGATTTAAGAGCTGAACAATGGACATTTACCGGAACTGTTCTACAATAAATATCCCTTCAGAGAGACTGCTCCAATAAGCTTCCTACTTGCAAAGGGGAACAGAGAATTCCGAAAATGATTGAATCATTGTAAGTTCTGATTCTCAGCCAAATAATTACAATCCTCTGGACAGGAGACAAAGAAGTGATTTTACATGACTAAGCCTGACAATGATAATGATATATAATACTAAATTCACATATTCCATGTTATCGTTATCAATGGACATTATTTAAATTAGCATATCATAAAAATAAACAAATAAATAAAACTATACCTTTTAACAATACTGGCCAGAAAAAGAAGACTCCTGCAGAGAAAAATCTAGCCTTCCAAAAATAAAGTGGGAAAGATGAAATGTTTCTACCTACTCAGCTTCTCTTTTGTTCTTACTACCGAATGGACTTAACAAATGCACAGGGTTTGCTGTCAACAGGGAATCAATCATACTGCTGTCTGGAGCAACCATTATCTCAAGCAGTCATCAAGTAAGGGCTACTCTCTGCCTGAATGTAGATTCATAAAAATCTCCGAGTTAGAAGTGTCTTTAAGGTCATCAGCTCTACTCCTTAGCTGAAGCAGGGCCGCCCTCTACAAAAACCAGTTCAAAAGGTCGTAAGGCTTCTCCTTGGGCACTTTCAATAACCAGGAGCTCACCCCTTCTGTGGTGGCCCATTCTCTCATCAGTGGTTGTAAATAAAACAGATCTCGCCCAAGCCACTTTGGCTCAGTGGATAGATAGAGCCTCTGCTTGAGGACTAAAGGGTCCCAGGTTCGATTCTGGTCAAGGGCATATGCAGGGGTTTCAGGCTTCAGGCTCGATCCCCAGATGGGGGCATGCAGGAGACAGCTGATCAATGATTCTCTCTCATCACTGATGTTTCTCTCTCTCTCTCTCCCTCTCCCTTCCTCTCTGAAATCAATAAAAAATATATTTATAAAAAATAAAAATAAAATAAATCAGGTCTCCCTGTTGTCAAAATGGAAACTCTTTCTTATGTCTTACTAGTATAGCCATTGGACTAGTTCAATCTCTCGCTGAACACCCTCTGACACCACTCCCCCAAACATAGTAAATCATTCTTCCATCTTAACTTTCTTTCAAAAAATATGAAGTTATGAGGTTCTTCCTCAAATGCTCTCTTCTCAAGGTCTTTCAACTATTTTTCTTCAGTCATGAACTTACACCAACATCTCCCAAAACATAGAAAAAGAGGGATTTTAGGGACCTCTAGGTTAAACACATTTAAATAAGTTTCTTTCTCATCTGCCTGAGGACTCAGCGGGGGCGGGCGGGGGGGGGTTTCCAGGTTCAATTCCAGTCAAGGTCACATACCTTGGTTGCAGGCTCCTCCCAGGCCCGGGCCCTGTTTGGGACTCATGCAGGAGACAACCATTCGATTTGTTTCTCTGTCTTTCCCTCTCTCTTCCACTCTCACTAAAAATTAATGGGAAAATATTCTCAGATGAGAATTAACAAAAAATAAAAATAAGTACATAAGTGAGTCTTCGTCTTACAGAGATTCTTAGGAGGTTTTATGCTGCTAAGTATTGTGGTTCTCCAAAACAAAGGGAAGGGGAGGATGACTTACCTCTATTACTACTTCATGGAACACACGCTTTGGAATATGTTGTCTTATGCCATTTACAATCCTGATTCTCTCCTCTGGAAACAATTCAGCCTACCAATGCCCCCATCATTTTACCCAACCCTCAGGGAGGACTAAGCTGGCCAGTGTGGGCAGAAAGGATAAGCACTAGCTGGTTCTGAAGGCTATCTGTCCAGAACAGATGCATGTATGGGAATCCATCTCACTGGACTTTGATTCCCATGTGTCCAGCATCACCATATTTCCAATGCTGATCTTAATGGAGGAGGGTTTCAGCGCAGACACAGAACTCTCTAGGAAAAAAAATGCAAATCTCTCTTCCACTGAAGTCTCAAATATGGCTCAGCATAAGGTTGAACTAACAAATACTATTATTATGTCCTAAGTTCCTATTATTTTAATTTTTATATTTAAAAAATCATCTCACAGATCCAATAAACAATTTCATCGAATCAATAACTTCAAAATTGAACCAGACTATTTCCAAGTCTCCAGGTATATAACCACAAGAACAGAAGATCAGTGCAATTGCTAGCCCAAGACCCAGGTTAGACTTCTAACCTACAGAACTATAAGCAAATAAATTTACAATGTTTTAAGCCACCAAGTCTGTGATAATTCATTATGGCAGCCATGGAAAACTCCTCCAACACACTTCACTGGCTTCCTGCCCTCCTTGTCTCTTTTCCCCGCTCTCCTGCTGGTGTTTCCTGTGTCACTCCCAAAAGGACTATGTGCACTTGAATCCTTGTCATAGGCTGTGCTTCTGGGAAAGCCCAAATCAAAACATTGCCACCATATTTAAACATATTTAAATTGCCATTTATATAAACCAAAATACAAGAGACTGAACTTCTAAAATCAAGACTAAATTTTCTGTGCACTAAAGCAAGCAAAAGCACATAATAAAAGTGGTAATATTACTGACAATGAATATTATCAGAATTTCCAGTATGTATAGAAATTCTGCATTACTTCAGTCTATAATCTATTGGTATTAATGACCTTTAAACTGATATACATAACTCCAGACACTGCTAATTTTTATTTTTAATATATTTTATTGATTTTTTACAGAGAGGAAGGGAAAGAGATAGAGAGCTAGAAACGTCAATGAGAGAGAAACATCGACCAGCTGCCTCTTGCACAGCCCCTACCGGGGATGTGCCCTCAACCAAGGTACATGCCCTTGACCGAAATCAACCCCGGGACCTTTCAGTCCGCAGACCGACGCTCTACCACTGAGCCAAACCAGTTTCAGCCAGACACTGCCAATTTTTAAACTATCATATAGCTACCCAGATTTCTAAAGACAAATTTGATTATCTTTACTTGCTCAAAAAAATTCAATAATTCAATATTTTCTATTGGCTATTAATGCCCAGGCTCTTTACCCGGCATTCAGAGTCCTCCATATCAAACATCAACCTTCTTTTCTTGAAAACTTTTCCATTGCTTCCCTTTGCTACCACTTAAACTAGTCAAACTAAACCTTTGCTAGTCTGTCATCACATTTCTTTCCTTTTCTCACATTGTTTCTTCTATCTGGAATATGGTTTGTTTGTTAATCTTCACTCGAGAATATCTTTTCCATTGCTTTTTAGAGAGAGAGGAAGGAGGGAGAGAAAGAAACATCACACATTGATTGGTTGCCTCCTACATGCACTCCAACCAGGGTCTAAAATGGAACCTGCAACCAATGTGTGTGCCCTTGACTTGGAATCGAACCAGCAATCCTGTAATACTCGGGCTGAAGCTCTAACCAATGAGTCACACCGGCCAGGGCTGGAATGGTTTTATCGATAGATCCATCAACTCAAATCCCAGAAATCCTTCACGCTCCAAATTTTTGTAGTATGAGTCAATGCATAAGTGAATAAATGCATAAAAATTATAACTACCTGTATATTAGTTGGCTTTTCTGTCCAGACACATGCCCTGGCAATAAGAATCAGAAAACAAATACCTAAAATGGTGAGAGTGGGTCCAGCCCACGCCAGGTTCCATGTCCTCTTTTTGTTGAACAACTTACTGACTTTGTTTTTTGATTTTTTAAACTTCTATGTTCTGCCCAAGCAGCATGTTCTTCCTTATTCGTCAATAACTGCTTTCTTTACTCGTTTACTTACCGAGGATATTCTGTTCCCCAAAAGAAAGGCTTCTGGAGCTCTCCTGCTGGAAATCCTGGGAGAAAGACAAACAAACAAAGTGTAAGGGATACAGAGACTGACTTGATGGTAAGTACCTGGTTCCAGCTTTAGCTTTAAAGTTTCAAAGGCCCATATGAAAGGTACTCCTCAGGGAGCTGGGAACCCTCCAGGAGATCCAACTGTCTTATCTCTAAGATGATCTTAATTCAACTGAATTTGAAATGAATACATTACATCAATTTCTCTTTTATCATTTTCATATGATTTATTTTTTTAATTTATCTTTATTGGTAAAAGTATTACAGATCCCCCTCTACCTTTCACCCACCCCCTGCCCCTGGCCTTCACCACACTATGGTCTGTGTCCATGGGTTTATGTATATATGCATGAGTTCTTTGGTTAATCTCTCCCCACCCACTCACCCACCCACCCTCTGCCTTTCCTCTAAGACAGTCTGTTCCATGATCCTATGTCTCAGGGTCTATTTTGCTCATTGGTTTATTTTTTAAAAATCTTTATTACTGAAAGTATTACATATGTCCCCCCTTTCTCCATTGACCTCTCCCAGCCTGCCCCTGCCTTCCACCCCAGGCATTCACCCCCTCTATTGTCTGTGTCCGAAGGATATACATATATGTATACAAGTTCGTTGGTTGTTCTCTTCCCATCTACCTACCCTCCCCTGCCTTCCCTCTGAGGTTTGAGAGTCTGTTTGATGCTTCCATGTCTCTGGATCTATTTTTGCTCATCAGTTTATTTTGTTCATTAGATTCCATATATGAGTAAGATCATGTGATGCTTGTCTTTCTCTGACTGGTTTATTTTGCTTAGCATAATACTCTCCAGGTCCCTCTATGCTATCTCAAAGGGTAAGAGATGCTTCTGCACAGCAAAAGAAACTATCATCAAAATGAAAAGGGAGCCCACTGTATGGGAGAACATATTTAGCAACGATATATCTGATAAGAGGTTACTTTCCAAAATATATAAAGAACTCATACAACTTAACAAAAGGAAGATAAATAATCCAATTTAAAAATGGGCAAAAGAGCTAAATAGACACTTCTCCAAAAAGGACATACATATGGCCAACAGACATATGAAAAAATGTTCAATGTCACTAATCATCAGAGAGATGCAAATCAAAATGACAATGAGGTCTCATCTCACACCTGTCAGAATGGCTACCCTCAACAAATCAACAAATGACAAGTGCTGATGAGGGTGCACAGAAAAAGAAACTACAGTACACTGCTGGTGGGAATGCAGACTGGTACAACCACTAGGAGAAACAGTATGGAATTTCCCTGTTACATCAATTTCAAATTGTGAAATTGCTGTGCACTAGAGCCCTGAATACTCAGAGTGTGCAGGAGACTGCCAGCTATCCAGCAGCTTCCCCTAATACATGAAGGATCACCTTTATGGACACTCAACCTGTGCAGTCATACCGGCCCTCCCATGCAGAAGGACCCTGAACTTGGTTTAATGCTCTGCTGTCACTGTCTTGAAACTCTTAACTTTATCTTTGGATATGATTTTATAAGGGGCATCCAAGGGGACAAGGAGATAAGTGTGTGAGCAAAGGAGCCATGCATGGTTGCGGGCCCATGGTTCCTAGATGCCTCACTTGCATTAAGTATTTATGATACTCCCCAGGAGCACAGAACTCCTATAGACCCACAACGTGTGGGAACTCAGCAAGACGCAAAGTGAGTATAAGGTAAGCATGTTACATCTAGGACTGAGTAGGTGGGGGCTCCGACAGCTCCAAGAGGACTCTTTCCATTAGAAGCAGAATGTGCTTTGATCACCAAAAGGCAGTATTGGCATTCTCAAAAACAAAAATGCTTAAGGTAACCTGTCATGCTCTTTCTTGCTATATTAGCCAACCACATACACCAAAAAATGATGACATAGAAGGAAAGGGAAAGATGAGGTGGCCCACCGTTCCTTTTCCTTTCAGTCCTTTCTTACTCATCAGTAAGTGAAAGGTAGAGAGTTGATAGAATGTGCGTGTATTAAAAAGTGGAATAAAAACAGCTGAGTTAGTTCTGTGCAGTGTTCTGGTAAGAACAAAATACATATGCATGTACCAGCTACAAAATACAAATTGAATAATTTAGGTGATTCCACATACAAGTTAAGAGTTCTTATATTTGCATTTAAAACTGGCATTGCACAATATAAAGTTGAACAGTAAAATTATGCTGAAGATTTAAAATTTTAATTTTCCTCACAACAGCACTAAATAGCAAGTAAAAAAAAAAATGACAAGTCTGGAGAACAAGAGGCCACAGAAGGCAGGATAAAGCTTTCTATTTTAGCACCTTTAACAGTACTTTTTCCTGCTTTCTGAACAGGGGGCGCCCATATTTTTATTTTGCACTGGGCCCTGCAAATTATGTAGCTGGCTCCAGGTGCAGATGAGTGGGAGAAATGCTTTGCTTTGCCATTGCAGCTCACTACTAAATTTAGAGCCCCAAGTTGATCCCAGGAGCTGCACTTACAAGTCATCACAACTAGGAATACAAAGAATAGTAACAAAAAGAGAAAAAGAGATGCCGCCTTCAATGTTCTTGCTTGCTCCAGAGCCACTGTTCAAAGCCCCTTGAGACTGAAAGCTCTTTTAGAAGATAAAATGTTTTCTCTTCTCTCTGTCCCTCTTCAACATTCTTGCTCCCTCCCCTCCATGGCAGCAGACTCTGAGAAATGAGGGTAGGAAATCAAGTCCTTTTTTGAAAAAAAAATGTATTTTTATTGATTTCAGAGAGGAAGGGAAAAAGAGAGAGACAGAAACATCAATGATGAGAGGGAATCATTGATTGGCTGCCTCTTGCACACAGTCCACTGGATATGGAGCCCGCAACCCAGGCATGCGCCCTGACTAGGAATTGAACCGTAACCTCCTGGTTCATAGGTCAATACTCAACCACTGATGCAAGCTGGCTGGGCTCAAGTTATTCATTTAGAAATGAAATGTTAATTCTATGTAACATATCTTCTTAATAATATCATAGTTTGAGATTTCAAGGTGCAAAACCCTAATTGCAAAACAGAGATGGTTCCAGCTAGCAGTTCTCTCTCTTCCTGTTGCTTTCTGACTTTGAAGGGGTAACATCATATTAATCTTCATAACCTCTACATTTCCTTTCATATCTTTTACATCTTTATATCAGTAGTCCATCCTCTCTGCTGGTGAATACTTTTAGAAACTCATTCTGATTTCGATATGTATAAACCAGTGTTTATAAGCAAATTCCATCTCACACAACATATGACCAAAGCAATGCTATTTCCTAATAAGAACAATGACCATAAGCGAATGTGATTTCATTATTAAATCATTCTGGTTTTCCTGCTTGGAGATGTGCCCAGCTGGAAGCATTTCTGTCCACTGCCAATCTCTTTGCAGGAAACCATCTAACACTGCGTGAGCCTCCATTTTGCCACTTTAGCTGTTAGATAGAGGCCCCAGACTCACAGGCGGTGGCCATCACACTCCCCTGATCAGCTGTATCTTCCCAGCTTGTGTGGGGCATGGAACCCAATACCGATCAACAGAAGAATCTGATGCCCTCAGAGCTGTTTTGCTGAAGTGAATGGATTAACAGTTTAAGTTGCATTTTTGGAGACGTCAACTGGCAAGAGTGACAGATTGAATCCCAACAGGGCCAACTCAGTATCTTACCTCATAAGTAGGTAAATTGTATTTAGCAAAGGTAGAAGTAAAAAATCTATAATAATAAAAGCATAATATGCAAATCAACCAAATGGCCTAACAGCAGAATAACCATCCGGATGACTTTCCAGATGACCTTCCAGACAAAGCTGGGGCTGTGAAGGCCTACTCTTGCATGAATTTCATGCATCAGGCCTCTAGTAATTAAATAAAAGGAAAGGGGATTCTTTCTCTCGGCCCTTTTAATGGGCTTTTCTTATGTTTTCTTGCATCTCCATTGCATTTCCTTTCTTCTCCATTTCAGCACTGCCTCACCACCTGTTTCACATTTTGAAATCCGCTCCTTTTTCTATCAGTGTATTTGTGGGAAGCATTCCTCACAATGTAAATGTATACACACATATATGTATATGAATATGAAAGAGGGAGGGAGATTAAAGAGAAATTTAACTACTGGGTTGGCACAAATTAATAAATTTAACAATAGGTAATACTGGCCAGGGTGTAGGAAGTGTGCTGGTGGGAGTGTAAATTGTTGCAAGCATTTGAAGAGCAATTTAGTGATCTCTTAATGCTTTAAATACCATTTAAAAATTAGTAACTATAGAGCAAGGGGTGGGAATATCCAGCCCTCTGGCCATATAAAGTCCTGAGAAATCATTTGGTCTGGCCCTGCAAAGGCATCAGGGGTGAATTAATGAAATGTCTGACCAAATATAGCAGGCTAATTTTTAAGTTGAACATTTTTGTATGGCCTGTGAAAGATGTTATAAATATCAAAATGACCCTTGGCAGAAAGAAGGTTCCCCACCCCTGCTATAGAAAAAGCATAAAGAGATGTTATTAAGTAAAGAAGATAAGTGAAAAAATAGCACTCAGTCATGTATGGGGTCCTTTTATGTGTAGCACATATAAATGCACATAGTCAGTTCTATTATAACACTTGTACTGAAAAGGCAAATTTGTTCCAACATGCTGATATATTAGAGGGAAAACTGGGGCATAACTCCAATTTCCCATCTGCTTATGTCCCATTTCCTTTACGAGAAATGCTAGATGAAGGTATAAAACTGCACCCAAATGAACCACATAGGAATACACAGAATGCACACATCCCAACATGAACCAGCTACCTCCATTCACTGTGTGTGTGTGTGTGTGTGTGTGTGTGTGTGTGTTTTATAAGCCACACCTCATATTAAAACTGTCCTTCCAGTCTCAGAGAACCCGCCTTCTACCATTACACAATAACTCACAAGTTGCAAGCCCTCCAGGGCCCACTTCCACAAGCAAACTTCAAGCCTTTTCTAGGCAAAGTGCCATACTTACTGCAGCATATATGTATTTACCT